AAGGAGGAGGAGCAGCCTCGGCTGATTCCGTGACAGTACCCCCACCTTGACGCGCGGCTCCAGCCGTGCGCCGACCCCGGCCTCGGGGATGGCCAGGAGGACGCGGAGCAGGACGAGTCGGATGACTCCGGTGGAAGTCCCTCAACATGGAGGGATCTAGGATGTTCCTCCTAGGGACCCAGCACCGTTCCTCCGGACCGTACCCCTCCCACTCCACGAGATACTGCAGGCCCCCCATCTGACGCCTCGAATCCAAGATGGAACGGACTGAGTATGCCGGAGCCCCCTCGATGTCCATCGGGGGCGGAGGAGCCTCTCGTACCTCACTCTCCTGGAGTGGACCAGCCACCACCGGCCTGAGGAGAGACACATGGAACGAGGGGTTAATGGGGTAATTAATGGGCAGTTGTAACCTATAACATACCTCGTTCAATCTCCTCAGGACTTTAAATAGCCCCACAAACCGCCGACCCAACTTCCGGCAGGGCAGGCGAAGGGGCAGGTTTCGGGTCGAGAGCCAGACCCGATCTCCCGGTGCATACACCGGAGCCTCACTGCGGTGGAGATCGGCGCTCGCCTTTTGCCGCCTGATAGCCCGCTGCAGATGGACATGCGCAGCGTTCCAGGTTTCTTCCGAGCGCCGAAACCACTCGTCCACCGCAGGGGCTTCGATCTGGCTCTGATGCCAAGGTGCCAGGACCTCAGAAACCTACCCACATCCTGGTTCACTCTCTCCACCTGCCCATTACTCTCGGGGTGAAAACCTGAGGTAAGGCTAATCGAGACCCCCAGACGTTCCATAAACGCCCTCCAGACTCTAGAGGTGAACTGGGGACTCTGATCAGACACTATATCCTCAGGCACCCCGTAGTGCCGGAAGACGTGTGTGAACAGGGCGTCAGCAGTTTGTAGGGCAGTAGGGAGACCTGGCATAGGAATGAGACGGCAGGCCTTCGAAAACCGATCCACAACGACCAAGATCGTCGTGGTCCCCTGGGAGGGGGGAAGGTCCGTGACAAAATCCACCGATAGGTGAGACCACGGCCGTTGTGGAACGGGTAGGGGTTGTAACTCCCCTCTGGGCAGGTGTCTAGGCGCCTTACACTGGGCGCACACCAAGCAGGAGGAAACATAAACCCTCACGTCCTTAGCTAAAGTGGGCCACCAGTACTTCCCACTAAGGCAGTGCACTGTCCGACCAATACCAGGATGACCAGAGGAGGGTGACATGTGAGCCCAATATATCAATCGATCGCGAACCTCGAGCGGCACGTACTTCCGACCCTCTGGACACTGTGGGGGAGTAGGATCGGTACGTAACGCCCGCTCGATGTCCGCATCAACCTCCCACACCACCGGTGCCACCAGACAAGACTCCGGAAGTATGGGAGTGGGCTCAATGGTCCTCTCCTCTGTGTCATATAGTCGGGACAGGGCGTCTGCCTTAGCGTTCTGTGACCCTGGTCTATAGGTGAGCTTAAATACAAATCGGGAAAAAAACATAACCCACCTTGCCTGGCGAGGGTTCAGCCTCCTCGCTGCCCTGATGTACTCCAGGTTACGATGGTCAGTCAGAATGAGAAAAGGGTGTTTAGCCCCCTCAAGCCAATGCCTCCACACCTTCAGGGCTTGAACCACAGCTAACAGCTCCCTGTCCCCCACGTCATAATTGCGCTTCGCCGGACTGAGCTTCTTAGAATAGAAAGCACAGGGGCAGAGTTTTGGTGGTGTACCCGAGCGCTGAGACAGCACAGCGCCGATCCCAGCCTCGGACGCATCCACCTCAACTTGGAACGCCAAAGAGGGATCCGGATGTGCCAGCACCGGAGCCGAGGTAAACAGGTCCTTCAGATGTCTAAACGCCCTGTCCGCCTCAGCCGACCACTGCAGACGCACCGGACCCCCCATTAGCAGGGAGGTAATGGGAGCTTCTACCTGTCCAAAGCCCCGGAAAACCTCCGGTAGTAATTGGCAAAACCCAAGAACCGCTGCACTTCCTTCACCGTGGTGGGAGTCTGCCAATTACGCACGGCAGAAACGCGGTCAATCTCCATCTCCACCCCTGACGTGGACAACCGATGTCCTAGGAAGGAGATGGACTCCTGGAAGAACAGACATTTCTCCGCCTTCGCATACAGGTCATGCTCTAACAGTCTACCAAGCACTCGACGCACCAGGGACACATGCTCAGCTCGTGTAGCGGAGTATATTAGAATGTCATCAATATACACCACTACACCCTGTCCATGCAAGTCCCGGAAAATCTCGTCCACAAATGATTGGAAGACTGAAGGAGCATTAATTAAACCGTATGGCATGACGAGGTACTCATAGTGACCCGAGGTGGTACTGAATGCTGTCTTCCACTCATCTCCCTCCCTAATGCGCACCAGGTTGTACACTCTCTTGAGATCCAATTTTGTGAAGAATCGCACCCCGTGTAATGACTCCGTCATACTAGCAATCAGAGGGAGAGGATAGCTGTATTTGATTGTGATCTGATTGAGACCACGGTAATCAATACACGGGCGTAAACCCCCATCCTTCTTCTTCACAAAAAAGAAACTCGAGGACGCAGGGGAAGTGGACGGCCGTATGTATCCCTGTCTCAGAGATTCGGTGACGTATGTCTCCATAGCCGCCGTCTCCTCCTGAGACAGAGGATACACATGACTACGCGGAAGCGCAGCGCCTACTTGGAGGTCTATCGCACAATCCCCCTGTCGATGAGGTGGTAATTGAGTCGCCTTCTTTTTACAGAAGGCGAGTGCCAAATCGGCATACTCAGGTGGAATGTGCATGGTGGGAACTTGGTTCGGGCTTTCCACCATCGTTGCCCCTACGGAAACACCTACACACCGCCCAAAACACTGATCAGACCATCCCTTGAGAGCCCTCTGTTGCCATGAAATGTTGGGGTCATGAGATGTTAACCAGGGAAGCCCCAACACCACGGGAAATGCAGGAGAATCAATCAAATACAAACGTAGTATCTCCTCATGGCCCTCCTGCGTTTTCATCCTGAGAGGCGCTGTGACTTCCCTAATCAATCCTGACCCCAAAGGGCGGCTATCTAGGGCATGGATGGGGAAGGGCACATCAACAGGTACAATAGGAATCCCTAACTTATAGGTGAATTGGCGATCGATAAAATTCCCAGCTGCGCCTGAATCTACTAGCGCCTTATGCTGGGAGTGAGGAGAAACCTCGGGAAACACAACTTTAATACACATATGCGCAACAGAGAGCTCTGGGTGAGTTGGGTGCCTACTCACCTGGAATGACTCATCAGTGCGCTGCCTACTGCCTCGATTCCTAGGAGACCCTCCCCAGCACCGACCAGCAGTGTGTCCTCTGCGGCCACAGTTGGTGCAGGGGACGGCCTCCCTCCTGGTCTCTCTCCTGGTCTCCCTAGCACCAGCACCTCCGAGCTCCATAGGGGTCAGCTCGGAAGTGCTGGGGGATGGAATGGACGGCCCTGAATCCGGACATCCGCGGGCGAATGGACATGTCCACCAGTTGGTCGAAGCTGAGGTTGGTGTCCCTGCAGACCAATTCCCGACGCACGTCCTCCCTCAGGCTACATCTGTAGTGGTCGATGAGGGCCCTCTCATTCCATCCCGCGTTGGCAGCCAGCGTCCGGAAGTCCAGCGCGAACTCCTGTGCGCTCCTCCTCCCCTGTCTAAGGTAGAATAGACGCTCACCCGCCGCTTTACCCTCTGGTGGATGATCGAATACTGCCCTGAAGCGGCGGGTGAACTCCGCATAGTTGACAGTAGCGGCGTCTATTCCCCCCCACTCGGCGTTGGCCCACTCCAGCGCCTTGCCGGACAGACAGGAGATGAGGGCGGACACGCTCTCGTATCCCGAGGGCACCGGGTGGATGGTTGCTAGGTAGAGTTCAACCTGGAGCAGGAGACCCTGACACCCGGCCGCTGTGCCATCATAAGCCCTCGGGAGCGAGAGCCGAATCCCACTGGACCCCGGAGGTGAAGCGATCGGCATCGCCGATGGTGGTGGTATCGTTGGAAGAGGCGTAGGCAGACCCCCTCTTTCCCATCGCTCAATAGTGCTCACCACCCGTTCCATGGAGGTGCCGATAGCCTGGATCATGGCCGCTTGGTGTTTGACGCGTTCCTCCATTGATCCAGCTGGCACCGCCGCTCCTGCTGACTCCATGAGTGGTGTGTGATTCTGTCAGGGCGACGTGTATGCTGTGAGCGAAGTCAAGCGCAGGACACCGAGCTACTGGCAGACAAACTTTACTTGCACAGTAATCAAAATTACAAACAAAACCTCCAAACAGGGAGGAACAAAATACGCATACACCCAAACACTGCCGACCTCACGGAAAACAATCATACACAATAACCAATGAGAGACAGGAGGTTATAAAGGGAATACAATGTAACATAATGGGAAACAGGTGAAAACAATCAAGACAAACTAGACAAACACCGAAACATCGATCGGTGGCAGCTAGTTCCCCGGGGACGACGAACGCCGAAGCCTGCCCGAGCAAGGAGGAGGAGCAGCCTCAGCTGATTCCGTGACATATCTCCTTTTCTTTCTACTGCGAATGACGGGGATGAGCAAATCCCTCTCGTCCGACTCATTAAATAAAGATTATTCGTCCAGTTCAAGGTGAGTAATCGCTGATCTGATGTCCAGAAGCTATTTTCGGTCATAAGAGACGGTAGCAGCAACATTATGTACAAAATAAGTTACAAACAATACGAAAAAACACACAAAATAGCACGGTTGGTTAAGAGTCCATAAAACGGCAGCCATCCCCTCCGGCGCCATCTTCTGAATGCACTGTATGTAATGAAATCTTTTGAAAGACCAGCTCACTCACATCCCCTCTATATCAAAAGAGTTCAGGTTTGATGATTTTTGGGTAAATAATTTGTCCTCACAAGTAACTTGTTTCTTTCAAAGAGTAATACTTTTCATGTCCCGCCCATAATCTGGCTCGCTCTCTCTCGTGTGTACTGGCCCAGGTGCTATCCCCCCTGTCTGACTCCATCCTGGCAGAGAAAACTGTGACGGTGGTGGATGACAAAGTGACCATCACAGAACTGGGGGTGCAGCTGGTCACCGGCCTGGCTCTGTCCCTGCAGCTCAGCCCAGGAAGCAACAGGGCCATCCTCGCCACGGCAACCACACAGGAAGTGCTGCAGAGTCCCAAACAGGTCATTTCAACATACTGTATATCTTCAGAAATGACTGTCCTACTCGGTTGGCAGTCCCTTTGAGTAAGGGAGGGATTTTACCACGGTGATGCAACAGTGACAATGTTAATTACTGTAGTTTATTTAATGTGAACCATGACTGTTTTCATCCCATTTCACACAATTGCAGTCCTTTAATGTAAACAATTAGTAAGAACTGCAAACTGTGTGTGTGTGTGCACGCGTGCATGCATGGTTGTGTGAGTGTATTTGTTTGTTCCACTGCATTCCTAACCCTCTTAATTCCAACTCTTGAAAGGCAGAGTGTGACAGAATGTGTTTCCTTAGGCATCTAATAGAAAGGGAAGCTTAATCTCAGAGCGTGTAAAAGCAACACTGCCCTAGCTGTCCTATCATCTTTCTCCCTCACTCTCCTTCTCTTGTGACCTCTTTGATCTGTCCATCAGCTTCTCCAACACACCCTCTATCTTTCTGTTCCTCTCATCCCTTTCTCTTTCTAGTGAGGGAAAGAATGGAGGACAGGCTACTTTTATCAGTCCAACTCTGTAGGGAGGATGTCCGTGCGGAGATAAGCGGCCAGTAATTCCCCTAGCGGATCTGTAATTAGAGAGCAATGGCGGACCACTGAGGGTTCCCCTGCTCCCAGGGATTTGTCATGTGGCCATATTAAAGAGCAAATAGCAGAATCACAGCAAGAAAGGGACTTAAGATGCTTGGATGTGTCATATCCTTATTTGCATGAACTGTCTTTAATGTGACTGACTGTTATTTTCACTATGTTTTATTCTGTGTCGCCTCGGCTCTCAGAGCACAGCAGCAGAGTCAGCGAAACAGTGGGTCTTAGTGAGCTTTCCTCTACCTCCCCTTTCCTGCTATTATAGTATATGAGTCTGAATGACTCACAATGTTGTAGGCCTACATCTCTAAAAGTATTACCAAAAAGAGTACAAGTATATTTTGTTGTTGTTTCCTTACGTTCTGATCTTTTGAACCTTGTCCTTTTGAAGTATTGAGTAGTCAGGCAACTTTGCTTTCTTGTGCCTCATGGAAATTGTTTAATTTATTTTATTTAGCCATTTAACAATTACTCTGTAAGGTGTTGTTTACACTTAGCTTGCCTAATGAAATAATAGCACAGGAAAATTGCAGAAATGGTCTTATTTATACATTCTTAGAACTAATAAATAAATGGATTTTAAATTGGTATTTTTGAAGCCTTCATTATTCTCTACTTATGTTGAGATTGTTGCTGCTCTTCAAAATGTGATAATGCGACCTGTGTGAGGTCGCTGTCAGTGTTACATTAGAAAAATATTTGTCTTTATTTGTTATTTTCTTTGCTCTTGTTCAATGTAAGTAGTCATGTTTGTGTTTGGTTCTGTGTGTGTTACCTACTCACTGTGTGTGTGTGTATGTGTATGTTTGTCCAGGAGGCCCTGATCAGCGCATGGCTGCAGTTCAGTGATGGCTCCATGGCTCCTCTGGACCTGTACAACCCAGACTACTTTGTCCTGATGGCTACATCTCTGGATGAGGAGGTGGTGACGGTGCAGCAAGACCCCTTCTGGAAGTGGCCTGTGATCGTGACCGAGTCCGAGGGCCAGGGCCTGCTGGTCAGGGTGGAGATGACCGTCTGTGAGCTCTGCCAGAAGTTCAAACGCCGCAGCGTGCTGGCTGCAGGCAACTGCAACGTCAGGGTGAAGTTTGGCCTGAGCGACACCGGCACCTCCAGAGGCAGTGACTACGGGCCAGAGGGCGAGGAGCTGGAGAACAGGGCCAGCGACCGCAGACAGCAGTCCCCTTCCCAGGACAGGACTGGTCTGGACGCCCACTACTACGGCAGCTCCATCTCTGACATGGACAACGGGGTCATGAGGAGGGTCACCACCACCACCACCAAGAGTACCATCGTCAGGAGGCCCAATGGAGACAAGCTGTCAGACGATGGGAACCAGGTCCAGAACATGCCAGACCTCTCTGAATTCCCTGCTCAGGTCGACCTCCCTCGCAGCCGCAACATGGACGATGATCTGATCCAGACAGCCCGGGGCCTCACTGACCTGGAGATTGGCATGTACGCCCTGCTAGGGGTCTTCTGCCTGGCCATCCTGGTCTTCCTCATCAACTGCATCTCCTACACCCTCAAGTACCGCCACAAAGAGATGTCCATCGAGGGCCAGGAGAGCATGAACCACGCCCATGACTGGGTGTGGCTGGGGAACGAGGCGGAGCTGCTGGAGAGTCAAGTTAGTCTGTCCCCCCAGCAGGACGAGCTCACCTCCATGGTGGACTGCACTGCGGGGCTGGAGGAGGGCAGCCACCTGCTCAACGGGGCCTCTGTCCAGAAGAACGTGCAGGGCCAGGTGCACCGGGCAGCAGACACTGGGGGCTGCACAGCCAAGGACAGCAAAGGAGACTCGCCGACCACAAAGAGGAAGCGTGTGAAGTTCACCACGTTCACCACCATCCTGCCGGACATTGGCTGCCCCACTGTCAGCACACTGAGCATGGGTCACAGCCAGGACATTAAGTGGGTGTGTCAAGACGTAGAGCTAGGGGACTACAAGGAGCCCTGGAACTACATGGAGAGGTTAAATGACAGTGCTTTAAAAGAGGTGGCGTAGTCTGTGTGCTCAGTGCACTTACAGCGAACTCACCCTTATGCCTTTCACAGTGAAGTTGGCCTGGACAACACCTAAAACTAAACCCAGAGGAGGTTGAAATCTGGAAAATGTATTCAATGGGACAAAAACAGTAATGATACCACACAGGAATAATTGAAAATCATTAACTTGAAAATAAATGAGGATGTCTGTTTATTTTTTGATAATTTGTTTATCTCTTAATATCTTCCTACCTTTTTATCATTATTTCATTATGGTTATTTTGTAGGTAGACTTAAACCATGTTCCCAGACTAGCTCTGCATTACTGACAAAACTACGGAATGTTAAGCAGATGAAATGTGGATTTAAGAATGTAATCTGAATAAATATGTAAGATGTATATAAAGTACTCATAGAAAGGTTTTGGAAGTTTTGTAGCATTTTGAATATTGATTTCCTATTGCACATAGTTTTTTTTTAATCATTATTTTATTATGGTTATTTTGTAGGTAGACTTAAACCATGTTCCCAGACTAGCTCTGGATTACTGACAAAACTAGGAAATGTTACGCAGATGATATGTAGATTTAAGAATGTAATATGAATAAATATTTAAGATGTATATAAAGTACTCATAGAAAGGTTTTGGAAGTTTTGTAGCATTTTGAATATTGATTTCCTATTCCACTTAGTTTAAAACAAATATATATATATATATATATATATATATATAATCTGGCCTCCCAGAATAGACCAGAGATAGCCTACAGAACATCCTGCATGCGGTTTGAAATGAAGGCACATGGCTATGTATATACTGAACAGTCCTCCTACAAGCCATTGTATTGTTGCTCTATATATTGTATTTTCATATCTATCATTTAAAGAATATTCAACAATGTAGAGTATGCGTGTCCACTTCTATCCACTAACCACATGGAAATACATTAAACACGCTCACAGGAATTTCTCTTTGCTGCCCACTATCTTCAATGACTGGAGATTAGTGCTTTTCCATGTTATGTCTTCATATAAGCCACACAGAATAATTAATATGGTGTAGGAGTTGTAATCGACTACAATAATTACCAGTAATGGAATCATTTCACAAAGGCTACATTTCCATGGTGAAGAAAACTATTCACCCATTAGGCCACTGTAAGTCATTTGCTGCTCTTCTATTCTCAGAATTTAGCCAAACATACTTAACTCAACTGTATATTAGATCAATCCATTAAGCTTTGTAGCACAACAGCTAGATTTGGATAAAGGATGAAGCTGTCTCCAATTATTCCACCAGCAACTATTAGAGTGATTCTCTACAATAACATGACGCCTACTGCATGAATAATGATTGTTCTACATGTTAATGTGACATTTCCTCTACAACCCCTCACATTAAAATACTGTGAGCTTTGGCAGAAATGCCAATTATGGTCAAATTAACCCATCTCTGAGCCTCCAGAAATGCTCGGCGAGGACAAAGTGGAATGGGATTTCCTCTTGCTCTTTTGAAATGGAAAATTCCCATCATCAACCCTAATAAATAGGCCAAGCATTCTACAGTAGGTGGGGAAAGAGGATGGGGAAAACATTTCCACTGTAGTTACTTCAAATATGAGTAATTTAGCTAACCAGCACAGTCATAATATCAACTTGACATCAATAATCAATGTGACTTTTTGAGATCATGTTGCAATATCTACTGCTAGGGAGTAGACACTAGACAGACAGCTGAGCCAGCAAATTACAGCAATATCCTTTCACTGCTGAATTAAACTAGTTGTTGTGTCTACAAGGCCCATTGAATAGTGCTCTCCTGAAAGCTCATGTGCACTGATAGGAGCCCTCCTCATTCCTTTATCCATTTAGTTCAAGTAGCTTGTCTACATGATTCCCTGCTGCTCCTGCGGTTCCTCTATTGATCTTACGCTCTATGGTGAATGAAAACCTCCCTTCTATCTCTGTTTATCTCTTCCTCCCTCTGTCTTTCCCTCTGTTTCTCTCTCCTCTCACTCTTTGTCTCTGTTTCTCCCCTGTCCTGATGAATGATTTTTTCTTTTTCCTCTGCTCTTTTTTCTTCCCCTGTGTGATTTGGCCTATGCTGTGGCTCTATCAGTGGAGTGGAGTGGGATTGATGTGGGGGCTGTGTGCAGTGCAGTGTGCTGGGACTGTGAACGCTGTGCACTGTGGACTGTGAAGGGCGCAGAGAGCCATCCAGGCCTAGGAAGAATTTAACATGATTGATGGAGGGAAGGAGGGCCCTCTGTAATTAATACACCACTATCACTCTGTTTCTTTGCCCAGTGGTGACGTTGGCCTTGCCACTTAGAGACAAAGCAGCAGCACAGGCTATTACAAGTCCACTTGTTCCTTTGTTTTATCCCTCCTGAGTCTCTGTTTGGAAATAGATATACCTAAATGAAATTACAGATATAATACGTTTGCTTTGTAGTCCAGGCAAACATAAATAAAACTCCCATAGGACTCCACTTGGATATACTTAACTGAATTGACCATGAGACCAGCAGTACACTCACAGTAAATGAGGAGCTGTTCTGTTCTCCCTGTGGTAGTGATGTACACTCTGTGTGTTTACTCTCTCGAAATTGACTTATGTAGCTTACTGTTATATATATATTTTTGGTACATCTTTTGCAGTGTGTTATACTAACTAACATACACAGACTCAAGCATCTACAAACACGCGCACGGGCACACACACACAGACTTCACACATCGTTTGAGGTTGAGTTCTCAGACTGTGCTGGTGATCCTTCTAAATTTTGGAAAACCATAAATGCACTGAAGCGTGGAAATGCCTTTCCTCCCCTGCCTAAGCAAGTTGTCTCAGATTCTGGCATCATTACTGAGAAAAATAAGATAAGTGATTCTTTTAATCAGCATTTTATCTCTGCAGGCTTTTTATTTGAAATAAATTGTGGTTTAATTAACCCTGGTCAGTCAGTCGACTGCTCTTCCCTCTCCCAGCCTACAGTTGGTTCATTGGAAGATCATTCAACTTCTAGCGAATCTAGAGCAACTTTCTACTTGTGATGTGCTAGATGCCTTGCTTAAGATTGATGTCGACAAAACAAAATACGCTAGACAAGGTGGGATCTTTTTGTGTGAATTATTCGAGAAATGTCGGTGGAAACCCTTTAATGCGCAAGTATTTATATAATCGTATCGAAGTAAACTTGGAGTCACGCGATGACATGTGGTGTGGTCCTCCCACTACTGTGAGTCAGGAAAGCGTACAGTTTATTAGGCTACAGATGAAAAGAAAATAAGTTATGAACTTCACAGGATGGTGAAAGTGCAAGGTGATGCTTGATGCTCCTTTCCAATAAATATCGAGGGGCTTATTCTGGTGACATGATCATCAATGCTTGGCTGCTGTTTGACAAATAAAAATAATATTTTGTCCATAATAATCTCATCATGTAGGCTATAAGTGCGCTCTAGCCAACAGCACACAGATACAGTACTGTATCTTATCCAGAGCGACTTACAGTTAGTGAGTGCATACATTTTCATACTGGTCCCCCGTGGGAATCAAACCCACAACCCTGGCGTTGCAAGCGCCATGCTCTACCAACTGAGCTACACGGGAAAAAGAAACGGGACAATTTAATTTGATGGAAACACACCTCTGGTGGGAACATTTTAGAATATTCGCATGAACATTTGTCCCCAATTGGATGGAAACCAAGTTATTGACACATTTTTTATCTGACGATTATCTCGGGTGCTATCCCCAGGGTTTGGAAGGTGGCCCATGTGTAACAGTGTTGCTTCCGTCCCTCTCCTCGCCCCCTCAATGCATTGCACTCTTTTTGTTTCTAAAGCCCTCCTGCATAAACTTCATTGCACTCCCACAGTAGTGGGAGGACCACACCACATGTCATCGCGTGACTCCAAGTTTACTTCGATACGATTACAGTTGGCTCATTGGAAGATCATTCAACTTCTAGCGAATCTAGAGCAACTTTCTACTTGTGATGTGCTAGATGCCTTGCTTAAGATTGATGTCGACAAAACAAAATACGCTAGACAAGGTGGGATCTTTTTGTGTGAATTCATAACTTATTTTCTTTTCATCTGTAGCCTAATAAACTGTACGCTTTCCTGACTCACAGTAGTGGGAGGACCACACCACATGTCATCGCGTGACTCCAAGTTTACTTCGATACGATTACAGTTGGTTCATTGGAAGATCATTCAACTTCTAGCGAATCTAGAGCAACTTTCTACTTGTGATGTGCTAGATGCCTTGCTTAAGATTGATGTCGACAAAACAAAACACATGTGTAACAGTGTTGCTTCCGTCCCTCTCCTCGCCCCCTCAATGCATTGCACTCTTTTTGTTTCTAAAGCCCTCCTGCATAAACTTCTGCCATACCTTACTTCATTGTTAACTTATAGACATAGGAGATACCAGACCCGGTCTCAGGGATGGCTAACTCTGGAGATCCCTTCGATCTCCTCCACAGGAGGCTGCTGAGGGAGAATGGCTCATAATAATGTCCGAAACGGAGCAAATGGAATGGCATCAAACACCTGTAAACCATGTGTTTGATGTATTTGATAATATTCCACCCCAGTCATTACCACGAGCCCGTTCTCCCCAATTAAGGTGCCACCAACCTCCTGTGATCTCCACCGAGTTGGGTAGATCTGCTTTTAGTTTTTTGGCACTTTACTGAAGAATGTGTCTGTTTATGATTGTGTTTTGTTTTTCATGTGTTGTTGTGTATAATAACGTGTATTTCAATGTCTATATGTATGTGTAGTTTAATGTGTATATTGTATTTTGATATGTATTGTTGTGCTAAACAGGGCTCATCTGAAAAGAGACCTTGGTCTCAGCATTGACTCCCTGTCAAAATAAAGGTTAAATAAAATAAAAAGAGCAGCTGTCAAGTTCAGCTTAGCATTCCAGTCTAACCATTTATTTTACAGATGGCGCCACGGGGAAATGCAGACAACATTGTTCAAAAACACAACTCTGGTGCC